GGATAAGAAAGTACACACTTATAAGGCGCGATTGGTTGCGAGGGGCTTTACTCAAACTCCTGGAGTTGACTATGATGTGACCTTTTCACCAGTGGCTAAAAGTAAATCTATAAGGGTTATGCTAGCCATAGCTGCATTTCATGATTATGAAATATGGCAAATGAATGTCAAAACCGCTTTCCTTAATGGGAAGTTGGCTGAAGATGTTTACATGAATCAGCCGGAGGTTTTTGTCAATGCAAAGTACCCTGATAGAGTGTGTAAGCTTGAGAAATCCATTTATGGATTGAAACAAGCATCTCGTAGATGGAATCTTTGTTTCGATGAGAAATTCAAAGAGTTTGGATTTTCGAGAAGCGAGGATGAGTCCTGTATATATGTCAAAGCTAGTGGGAGTATAGTTAGCTTTCTCGTGTTGTATGTAGATGACATACTGCTCATAGGAAACGACATTCCAACCTTGCAGGAGGTTAAGTCCTGGCTTGGGAAATGTTTCGCTATGAAGGACCTCGGAGAAGTTGCTTACATTCTAGGGATAAGGATATTGAGAAACAGGAGTAAAAGGCTAATAGGATTTAGTCAAAGTACCTACTTGGACAAGGTGTTGAAGCGTTTCAACATGGTGAATTCCAAGAAAGGAGACTTACCAATCCAGAGCAATACCAAACTGAGTAAGACTCAGAGTCCGAGTACAGAGGCTGAGATAGCAGAAATGATTCGAGTACCATATGTTTCTACAGTTGGCTCGATCATGTATGCTATGACTTGTACTTGCCCTGATGTGGCCTTTGCCTTGAGCATGGTAGGCAGATATCAAGGGAATCCTGGTAGAAATCACTGGATTGCGGTAAAGAACATTCTTAAGTACCTGCGGATGACTAAGGACTGGGTCCTTATCCTCGGTGGGAGTGATGACTTGAGAGTGACAGGGTATAGTGATGCCAACTTTCAGACCGACAGAGATAATTTCCGCTCTCAGTCGGGCTGGGTATTTACCCTTAATGGAGGAGCAATAACATGGAAAAGTTCCAAACAGGAAACTGTGGCTGATTCAACGTACGAATCAGAGTACATAGCAGCAAGCGAAGCAGCAAAAGAGGCAATATGGCTGAAGAACTTCATTGGAGACCTTGGAGTTGTACCAGCTGTAAAGGAGCCTATGGATATTTTCTGTGACAATGAAAGTGCAGTTTCCTTAGCCAAGGAACCAAGGGATCATAGCAGATCCAGACACATCGACAGAAAATATCACTTTATAAGACATCAAGTAAAAGAAGGATTACTCGTAGTGAAGAGGATATCGTTAGAGAAGAACCCAACAGATCCCCTTACAAAGGGACTCAACAGAGATAAGCATTTGTTGCATGCAAGGAGCATTGGGCTAAAGAACGATATTAGTTTTAATGATTAGATAGATATTTAGAAACTTGTAATAGCTAAAATGTAATTGACATTTGATGATTGAATAAAAGGAGTTTTATTTATAAGTAAAGTTACTGTCTTGTGTCAATTATTTACTATTGTTTCATTTTGCATGTTTTGACTTCCATAATAATAAGATTATTCAAACTATCCACAGTCGATCATACTTTGGAAGTAGGTTATGTAAGTAGACTGTCATGAATGGGTTTTGTAAGATTGTCTAAGGAGTTAGACATTGCAAAGGTTTGCTACAACATTCATGAGTACTCTTGAAATAAGATTTGAGTAATGGATCAACCCACACTCACATAAATCACTTCATGGAATTTATCATGAGTGATTGTGAGATGATAATATCGTATAATCTTCAAACCAAGATATATGAGTTGGCAACTATTAGTTGGTTGTACATTGATAGTGCAAAAATGCATCAGTAACTCGATGTTATAAAATGTGCTGTTGTGTATGATTTAGCTAATAGTTAGTGCAAGCATATAAGTCGAAGTTTATTTGTTCCTTTTATCCTAAGAGGATTAAAAGCGATATTGGGCCCGATGATTTTGTTTTTACTTATGTGTCGGGCCTGGTCAAAACTCTATTGATGTGTTCAATTAAGTTCTATGTCAAGCAAATCGGAAATCGGGAGACAAACTGTTGGACAATAAGTATGACATTGTTCCATGTATTTGTTCGGCTGATATCTTGAAGAACAGAGGATTATATGATCCCTTATCTAAATGGCACGTCAGGATTCGACAATGGCTTTTAGAGAGCTACGATTACTACTCGGGTTTTGAAGCTGCATTGGCAGTTATAGTTATTAGACTTATCAAAGTGGGAGACTGTTGGATTAGGTGTCTAAGCCCATAACTATAATTGGTATGTACTTGACCTGATAATAGCATGGTCCATTTGGGTTGTAACACTCTGGAACAATTTGATAGGATGGATACTTGAAGAAGAGGTTATTGTGATTTATTAATATATTATAAGTATAATATATTAATTGAGAAATCACATTATTTAATTAGTATTGATCAAGAATTAATTTGGTATTAATTTAGTGATCAAAAGAAACTAATTAAAGTTACGGGGACTGATTAAGTTAATCAGTAATTCTTGTTGGACTCATGACCCATGTTGATTAGAGTTGGACTAAACCTATATGCAAGTCCATAAAGGTTTAGCCCAAAGGGCCTATGAAATATGAAGAGTCATGGTGGATTAGGGTTTGCATGGATGTAAACCTAGACTATATAAGAAACTCCTAACACCTAAAATCATGACCCCATGCACACTAAGAGTTGCTAGCCGATTTTGAGCTCCCAAGCCTCTCTCTCAAGTCCATTCTCTTGTTCTTGGTTTGTTATAAGACATTTGAGGCATCACACTTGAGGTGCTAGGCTCCTAAAGGTCAAAGACAAGCAAGCTACTACACAAGGTACTCTTCTAACTGTTTTTTATGATTTAAATGTTACCTTGCATGCTAGTTTAGGCCTTATGCTTTGGAAAAACAATGTTGCATGTATAATTAGAAAAAACTTAGATCCAAAGCATTAGGGTTGTATGTGCACCATAGGAATTTTTGAGTACATAAAACCCATTAGAAAGCTGATATAGAGGAACATTGGCAGTTATGGACATAGTGCCCTATAGGTGAACATTGGCAGCAATGGACTTAGTACCCTATAGATGAGCATTGGCAGCTGTGCCACAACCTGTAGATGTTTTGATCTACGATGTACTCTAAACATTCTAGCAGCTGTGCTCAAAGGGTAGTATCGGCAACTGCGCCTAATAGAGAAAATCATAACCCTGGCAGCTGCGCCTAAAGGACAATATCGGCAGCTGCGCCTAATAGAGAACATCATAACCCTGGCAGCTGCGCCCAAAGGACAATATCGGCAGCTGCGCCTAATAGAGAATGTCATAATTCTGGCAGCTGCGCCTAAATGATAATATTGGAAACTATGCTTAATAGATAACATTGACAGCTGTGTCATTAGGCAAACGATGGACTTCGTGCTTATTCCTTAGGACAATCCTTAAGAATGAATGAGTGAATGATAAATGATTCTTAGGATAGATCCTTAAGAAATAAAGAAGATAATGGGGATGGATAATTAGGTTGATTGTTTAATGATTAAACATAATGATATTATTGTGGGTTGAAAACCCTATGTACTCACCAGGTTTCCCAATCTGACCCACTCAAGTTTTATTTGTATCACAGGTGTCGATACGAAGCTATTTTACACTGAGAGATCAAGGAGATGTAGATCACTAGTGTAAATGAATGTAAGGTCTGTTTATTCTTATGTTTATGTAATGATGATGACATCCCAAAGTTTTAAAAGAAATGAAATACATTTCTTCGGAAATGCTTTGATAACACATTTATCATGTTTTTCTGGGAACAAATTCCGCAACACTTTTCTTTAAAAAGGTTACTCTGATTTTCAAACAAAACATAAATAAATCGGTCTTTTCTGACCGTGAAAATGGGGATGTCACACATACATACATTTTCCATGGGCTACCCCCATCGTCTTCCCTGAAATGCTATGGGCTACCCCCATGGTCTTACATTCAAGTGTCATGGGCTACCCCTATAGTCTTTCCCCGAAATTTCATGGGCTACCCCCATGGTCTTACATCCAAGTGCCATGGGCTACCCCCATGGTCTTTTCTTGCAATATCGAGGGCTAAATCCGGGTCTTATATATAAGTGTCATGGGCTACCCGCATGGTCTTTCATGCAAGTATCATAAAAACAACTATCATCCTATGTAGTATAGTGAGAAGACTCACCTTGTAAATATTGTCAATAGCTAACATGATCTCATGGTCGAACAACGGTGCTACACACCTCCTAACAAACCATACAAGATAAACCCTTAGTCTACCTTTTAACACTAGCAATTTGACCAAAATTCAACCCAGTCAAAAAGTCAACGGTAAAAGTCAACTCTAGCTAACCTCTACGTCGTGGCCATCCACATGCATGCCACTAAAGATCCAAAAAGTATTGTGCTCATGGGAACTTGAGGAGTCATTAAGTTGTAAATTTTATCTCACCCAAACATTATAATCTCAACAAAGGAAAAAACATGCAAATAAATCCTAGAACTATAACAAAGGACCCAAAAAGATCAAGTCTTAATGACTTACAAGGGCCCATGAGATGCTAACAAAGGTGGATATGAGTTTCTTGATGATTCCCTTCAATAGAGCTTCTTCTTCTTCCTTCAACGATTCCAAAAACACCAAAAATAAGCTCAAAACTTGAAGAGAGGTTAGGGTTTGCTCAGAACACTATAGCAGGTGATGGAGGTTGAGGGTAAAGGAAACCCTAGCCATCATTTCCCTTAAATAGAGCCTTAAACCCGGAATCTAGGGTTTGCTCAAAAACAGTCACTACGTTGTGGGGATCCAAGAATCTACGCGTCCATTTAAATAAGGCCACGTCGTAGCCACTGAAATCCAAAAACTTGATAATAGGTATTTCATACTTGAAAATCGGGGGTTACAGCTCGACAAATGTAGTCGAAAAAATCACCATACAACCAAATGAGGTTATGGCATCAATATTTGCAACCTCAAGATTTGGAGTTGACAAGCTAAAAGGATACAACATAAAGATACACTGTTACTACTACAACTATTACATGCGCATCAAGTACTATTGCCCTTGATGTCCTTTGCGACATCAGGCATGAGTTTATACTAGTTTGTGTTTATGCTTTTTTATTCTTGTTACTATTATCCAGTTATTGTTATTGTTTCAGGTTGATGTTCTAGTTCCAACTTATGTTGTCAATGTTCATATTCATGTTATTTATGTGTACGTGCTTCTATCGTATAATATGTGTTTGTAGTTACCTAATAAGAGTAAAGTAAAGTAAGACAATTTAATGTTCTTATAAATAAAATAAATATATAAAATAAGTCATTAGTTTATGAGAAAACTACAAATTTGGTCCATGTGTTTGTTCAAAAATTAGGGTTTAATTCCTTTCCCCCACCATCGTCTTCTGTTTTTGTCACTCAAACACACATATACACACATCAAATTTTTATTGATACCCACAACTAAAAGAAACGTACACATAGACACACCGAAGCTTAAGAACACATAATAGATCACAACAAAACACTATAAAATATCAAAAACTTAATAACATATTACACATTAGCTACGAGTGAAGGCACCAAACAAAATAAAAGTCGATTTTTTTCTTAACAAATCCAATAACACATAACTGATCCAACATACCCTATCTTTTAGCATAAACCCCTACATCATCATGCCACTCTTGATTAACCTTTTGTATGAGATCAATTCATGTTCAACAACTATATATGATTTTAGATTTTCCGCATATTTGGTGTCAGGTTTTTGCTTGTCGTACTTGACATAGACAAGTTGGATTGACATGTTATCTATAAGTCTATGTGGTTATCTAGGAGGAACATTTTGTTTGTTTGAGGTTTTCTTCTCTGGAATTGCATGGAGATCCCATGATCTCATTATTGATTTATTTAGAGAAGTTGATTGAGGTTTGGATACTTGATATTTTTCACCATTTCAGTTTCGTTTGTTGAAACAATGATTGTTTATTCACCTTTCTAGTCTATTTAGGTGTGTATGTACCGGTTAGAGACTTTTAAATTCAGTTGGGGTGTATAAGATAATTGTTCATGTTGATGTTTCCTTCTAAATTTATATAAAATTGTTTGGATTGTTTGTTTGGCATGCATGAGCTATAGTCGTTGTTAAATTATACACTTAGATTTGAAGCGACCATTATTGGTTTTGCTACCATTATTTAGATTTGTCTCCACTTGAGTATGTTGTGTGGGTATTCTTAGCTTTAGATGATGGATGATACACGACTCGACCGATCACTATTTGGATATTCATTTTGGTTTGTTATTTCTTTAAACATCATGAAGGAGTTTTAGTGTAAGAGTTAGCTGGTGCTTATACACTTCTTGGACCATCTTGATGTGTTGGGTAATTGCCATGATGAGTATGGATATTTTCATGATTTTATTTGTTGAACGAAGGATACATACATATTAATATAAATGTTTAGTGGATGCTTTCATGGATTTATTTTATGTTATCTTTATCCAAAATTTAGGTAATATACATATAAACAAATACTCATAAAACACCACCTTTTGGAACTAGTAAGATGTTGCACAACCCCAATACGAACATGATACATTTCTTATTATTCTTGTGTTTAGGACTGGACTTTAAGAAGGTGTTTGGCAAAACTTATTTAAGATAACTTATGACTTTTTGATTTATAACTTATTTGGTGAAATAAAGAGTTTTTAATAATTAAAATGACTTATGACTTTTTGACTTATAACTTATTTGGTGAAATAAAGAGTTTTTAATAATTAATAGTATCTTACTTATCACTTTTTGACTTATTAGAGGTTACCAACAGCTATACGTTGTTTTTTACCCAAACACTTTTTTTAACTTATTCCGGTATCAAACCGGTAATAAGTCAAAAATTCATTTTTTAAGCTTTGCCAAACATGGTCTGAATGCGTTTATGGTTATCCCAATGAATAATTTTTGATAGCCAAATTTCAAAGGAAATGAGTACATAATTCTATAGATATCCAAACAATTTTGACCATCAAAACACTTGTATTCACACCCATTTTCCCAAGTGCAAATCAACTCTAAGGTGAGCAACTCGTTTCAAACAAGTTTTATCTCAGCCCATTTTTTTAATAAAAATCAAAAGGGAAAAACAAAATTCAGGCGGAAACTAAAGAAACGGTCTCTGTTGTGTTGATGGAGACGAAGCTGGTAGACCGATCTCTGATCTTGAAGTTGAGGGATATTTCAATACCTTTGCCATAGTTATAGGCGTTTATGTTCAGGTACAACTGCATCGTATTATTCGATCGAATTTAACTTCAAGCAATTTTGCTATCGATGATCATCTACCATTGTACTTACATGCCAATTAGTTCGTCTTTTTCACTGGATTTAGGGTTTCACGATCTGTCGTTAAAACCGGATACCATCTATTCCTCAATTCGAGTACGCTCAGCAAAGGTGGTTTTCCCCAAAACAAGCGTCCAATTGAAATACAAAGCGAGCAAATCTTTGTGTCGAACGTTTTTTTTTTGTTTTCCTTTTGTTTCTCCCCTATTCGCGAGGGCAGGTTAAAGTAAAGTAGAAATGAGGTCGAACTTGTTTAACTGAAATTCATGATTCGGTTGCAAATTTATTTGATCGTATTCAAAATTAGAGGTAGTTTTTGATCATCCAGAACATTTCTTCTTCTGATTCATCAGAAACTCTTGGTTTCTTACGAGTTAGGCCACTAATGTCGGCCTTTTGTTAGCACAGTAACTTCATTTCATAGTCATGGTGCATGCTTTTTTCTGATTGAATCTGATTTGTTAATTGTTTTGTGGGTTGCTGATTTGGTGTTTTTATGCAAATTGGCATGCTATAGGACTTCGATTTGATTGCTAGACATTGAAGAGAAGTAGTAAACATTGAGAACAATTAGGAGATGTCTTTTGACGGAGATCACAAGCAATGGATTTGTGGAAAGAGTGGTACAGTGAATTTACAAAGAGTTGGTTCTATTGTTCAACATATTGGGGAGCCTTGTCTTCATCAGTCACCAATAAAGGTTGTTGTTACTGTAAGACTCTGAAAAGCCCTCTTCTAACTGTTTTCTTCTTGAAATTTTCAATGCTTCTTTCATGATAATTGAACTTTAAACAAGGATGCAGGGTTTAACAAAAGGAAGGCCTATGTGGTTTTGTTACATTGTTTCAGTTTAATATGTGAATTGTGCTTATCTAATGGTTGTAGTAAATGAAAAGTGGCTTTTTGTAAGGGGCTAAATGCAAGAAGTAGCAATGTAGTTCCATTTATTTGTTTATTATAGGATCGTAGTTCTATTTGTTTTTATTACAACATTGAACATTGTGCTTACAGTTTTTTCTTATTAAAGCATTCTACATTGAAACATTAACCCAGTTAGGCAATTATGGCATTGTACTTTCAGTCTTTTCTTATTGGAACATTGTAGTTGAGAAATCTACATAATTATAGCAGTGAAAGTAGCTATAATTAGGTAAGTTTTTCAAAGGATGATAGTATAATAAACAAACAAATGAAAGTACATTGCTATTTCCTGCATTTAGTCCTTCTACAGAATCCATGTATGAACAAGGTATAAAAAATGTATCCAGCTGATCTAAGCTGTTGGTTGAATTTGGGTTTCTATAAGGAATCATTTAAGGCCATTTATAGCAAATTTAGAGAGGGGAGGCTTTTGGTGGGAAGTATCATATTTTCTTTCACATGTTTAATGTTTTTTCCATGACAGAATGATAAAATTTAGTAGAAAATAATATGTAAGGCATTTTTGTAGGGTTAAATGCAAGAAATGACAATTTCCTTTCATTAATTTGTTGATTCTAACACCCAACTAACATTTCTTCTTATTACAACATTTTACTTTGAAAAATCTACCAATTATAACAATGGCATCAAAATACAAAGCAATCTCATTTCTATTATTAGGTAGATTTTTAAAGTATATTGGTCTCATAAGAAAAAAAGATGGAAGTAAAATACAATAATTGGGTAGTTTTTCCAAAGTAGAATGCGTTAATAAGAATAAAAAGTTGAAAGTACAATGCTGTAAATATAATAGAAAGAAACAAAAGCAGCATGTGCTAGTGCTACATTTTTTATGTAAGTTAGGAATTAACATTCAACATTAATCAAATATGATATATATATTTTTAATTGTTGAAGTTGTATTGCCATTAATGACTCCTTGTGTAAATTATGCAGATAAACAAAATGCTTAAACCAGAGAAGTGGCAAACAACATTTGATAGTGATGGAAAGGTTTTTGGTTTTCAGAAAGCACTGAAATTGATTATTTTGGGGGTAAGCTTTTACTTTTTCTTCATCTTTCTTTTTTTACCTTTTAGCTCTGTTATGTGGGATAATCATTACCATAAGTACACAATATTCTATTTTCCAGTTTTTTAGGCATAGAATAGAACTTCCCTGATGTTTTTAATTTGTGTTTAGGGGGTAGATCCGTCAATAAGACCTGAAGTGTGGGAATTTCTTCTAGGCTGTTATTCTTTGAGCAGTACAGCAGATTACAGAAGAAGGCTAAGGGCTGCAAGGAGGTCTGTTCTCTGTACTATTTTGTTTGCGTATTCTATTTTAACTACTTATTTTACTGTTTATTTTATTCGTTCTTTTATTATATAAATTCTTCGACACAAATTACCAGATTTGAATGCCTTTTGTGACACATATCATGTTGCATGCATTGACCTAATTTTGGATACTTAGTTTCTAAATCACTCTAGATATTACTATGATCAGGAATATGTAACACCAGGAGAGATAAAGAAAAATGAATTACTTTAATATATAAATAAATTTATTTACAGCTGATAGTTATTCTAATACCAACCAAAATATTCTTAACTAATTATTTTCCCACATAAAACTTATCCTTATTATCAACTGCTGATCCTATTTAACCAAAAAATGATATATGGTGTTAATTGCAAGAACTAGCAACATACCTTCATGGATTCTTTAATTAATTATTAGAGTTAATATCATAAAAGACCTTATATATTGTGTTTCTTCCAGATTAAACCTAAACTTTATTTTTTTTCCCTGAAAAAAACCTTGCGTTTTTCCATTTTTTTTATTTGGCCCTTTTAGTAGTTTTTTCTTTTCTGAAAAAACTTGTCAAATGTGAGGGTTTTTTCGTAAAACAAACAAAAAGTTGAGGGTTTTTTCGGAAAAATGAAAAAAATTCAAAAGGCATTTTTTTACGAAAAAGAAAACCACAATATATAAGGTCTTTTTATGATATTACAGTGTTTTGCTTTGAAAGATATAATGTCAATTAAAAACAAAGCAATTTTCACAGCTATGGTTGGATATATTTTCCAAACTACAATGCCTTAATAGTTAACACACAAATAAATGAAAGTATAATTCTATTTCTTGCATTACCCCTTTCTTTTTATGGACTTATCTTTTTATATATACCAATATATGATTTAGTAACACTTTTTTATAAAAACTTTGGATGCAGGGAACGCTATAAAGACCTCATTAATCAATGCCAGTTAATGCATTCCAGTATAGGCACAGGTTCCCTAGCCTATGTTGTGGGGACAAAAGTCATGGACATGAGAACAAAAACAGAAGATGATGAAAGACGAAAATCTGAAGTAAAACAAGAACAATCTTCCACCATTGATTCTAATCTACTAGAATCTTCCTGCAATTGCTCTGATATTTGTGTAGAAACTTCTACTACTCCATATAATAGAAGTGAAGGGGATGATGAATCACAATACAGAACTTCAAATTATTACGATTTCCCCCCTTTACCTGTAACAAATTTATTTGAAAAAAGCGATGTAGTAGTAGATAATAAGAATGAAGTTAAGTCAAAGTCAAACGATGAAAGAGTTTCCACAAGGCGTAAGCTAAGATTTGAAGAAGATGATGATGGTGATGATGATGATGATGATGATGATGATCATGTGTATGATTTTCAAATTAATAACAATGTAGATTTAGTAATGGAAGAGAATTCTAAATGTAGTAACAAATCCAGAATTGAAGTCACGGGGTCTGAATCAAGATCTGGCAATGTGGAATATGAAATGGAAGAAAGAAAGACGGATGTGTCTGAAATTAGGGTTTTGAAAAACACAGTGGCATCACATGGAAGAACAAGGAGTCAAGATAGAGTGTCTGAGTGGCTTTGGACTCTACATCAAATTGGTAAGTTTTTGTTTATAGTATATGATAATCGAGTAATAGTCAATGTTAGTCAAATAGTCAACTACAATTGGTCAATGGTAGTGCTATATACAAGCTCAAACTTAGGAGCTTTTTCATTGTTTATTGTCTTTTATTCTTTTTAATCTATTAACTGGGAAGTAAAAATTGTTTTTTTTTTCTTTAATTAATGTAAAATATATGCATAAAGGTCTAACCTTATAAAACGTGCTTTTTAATTTTGTATAAATGTAAATAATAGAAAGTTAGAATCATGGTGACATTAAGAAATACTATAAATTAGAAAATTAGAAAATTTTCAATAGTTAAAAAATATATGAGTTTATAAATAATAATTATTATTATAATATTTTTCTAGTTGGTTTTATCTTTATTTCCTTTGTTGTAGCAAATAATTAAAAATTAAATATTATTATTGATTTATATAACAAAAATAAGTATATATAAATTAAAATCAGTGGGACCCATGAATAAATTGTGGACAGGTTTTTGTTATGGTGGACAATTGGAGATATACCCTTTGACTATGTTATTAATAAGTGTGGAAAAGTTGATGAATATATTCCTTACCTTGATTTTGTTATGTTTTTATTTATTTATTGTAGAAGGTAGTTATTGTTTCTGTTTGTGCCTTTTTGCAGTTGTTGATGTTGTGAGAACAGATTGTCATCTGGAATTTTATGAAGATACAAAAAATTTAGCACGTATGTCAGATATTCTTGCTGTTTATGCCTGGGTTGATCCTGCAACAGGATATTGTCAAGGTTGTGCTTTTTTGCCTCTCATAATCTTATTTTATTTTATTGTTATTATTTTTTTGAGTTAAATGCAAGAAATAACAATTTACTTTCATTGATCCTATATATAGATGTATAGCATCCCACTTTCATTTCTTCCTCTTACAATGCTCTAATAGAAAGAAATGAAAGTTGGATGCAAGGTATAATCCAAATTATGAAGTGAATGCAACTCTGATTGCAGGTATGAGTGATTTGTTATCGCCTTTTATTGTGCTCTTTGAGGATAATGCTGATGCTTTTTGGTGCTTCGAGATGCTTTTAAGAAGAATGGTACTTCTAAACTTGACATATATATATATATATATATATATATATATATATATATATTATTTATGGGCTAAATGCATGAAATAGTGATGATGTATTTCCATTTATTTGTTTATAATAGCATCTTACTTCTCCATTTCTTCATATTACAAAATTATACTTTAACTCTTTTCATATGTGTGGTTGCTTTGAAATATCTACCTAATTATAACATTGTACTTTCATTTCCTTTTTGTATTAGGACATTAAACTTTCACAAATCCACATAATTTTAAGGGAAAATCACAATTTTTCAAATCATTAAAGTTTCAAACATTTTTCCAAATTAACCATTTTGACCTGTCATATCAGTTTTGACCATTAATTTATAACACACTTTGACTTCTTATATCATGTCAAAATGGTTATTAAGTTGGAAAAACATCCCAAAACTATACATTGTTATACTTTTAATTTTTTCTTATAAACGGGTACTCTGAAAATTTTACCTTGTTATAGCATTCTACTATCATTTTTTCCTTATTAGGACATTGTAATTTGACAAATCTACCCAGTTATAATTGGGTAGATTTTGCAAAGTACAATGTTGTAATATGAAGAAACTAACAAATCAATGGAAGTAGAAGTACGTTGCTATTTCTTGCGTTTAATCCTTTAATTATACATCGTATTTGCTAATCCTGTAATTATAACTTTGTTTTCCTTCCTTGTGTCCAGCGTGAAAATTTTCAGATGGAAGGAACGACAGGTGTCATGAAACAATTGGAGGCACTTTCACATATTTTAGAACATGTAGACAGGGAAATGTTCACTCACCTTTCACAAATAGGAGCTGAAAGCCTCCATTTTGCCTTCCGGATGCTTCTAGTACTTTTCCGACGTGAGTTATCTTTCAGTGAGGCACTTTGCATGTGGGAGGTATGTATTCATTCGTCTTGCTTAATTTGTCTAGCTAGGATATTAATTAATTAAATTGGTATGTATAATATAATATTAATAACACATCCTACATGTAATAATTACCTTTGCATTAGCAGCAACTAAGAAATAGCATTGTATTTTCAACTTTTTTTTAACATACAGGACGTAATGGGAAAAGAAACAGCTCCTAAATGAAAATGATCATCTTAATTTCTAATTTGAAAATTACTAAATTGCCCTTTTGTTGTCACCAGATGATGTGGGCTGCTGATTTTGATGAATCCTTGGCTTTCAATCTGGAGAACAGTTGTCCTGAACTTCTAGTCCTACAAATCCCAAAGGAATCAACTACAGCCACAGCCACACAAGAGGAAATTATTGAGAATGAAAACAGTGGATCAAAAAATGGTGGATCAGAATCAAAATGTGGGAATTTAGAGCGCTCAAACTCCGAAAATAATGGAATAAAATCCACTTTAAATCATCCCTTTTGTGGATTGACAAAAAGCTTGTGGTCAAAAAATGATCGTTTTCAAATATGCACGATAATATCATCAACAAGGAATGGCGATGATGAATTGCCCATTTTCTGTGTAGCTGCAATTCTTATTCTCAATCGCCATAAAATCATGAGAGAAACACGTTCGATTGATGATTTGATAAAGGCAGGTGGATTATAAATTTATATTTTACACTAAACGCAAGAAATAGCAATTTACTTTCGTTTATTTGTGCTTTTTATAGCATCCTACTCATTATGTCTTTCTATTACTGCATTGTGCTTTAAAAAAAAAAAAAAATTTCTTATCAGGCATTGCATTTTGAAAAATTTACCCAATTTTAGCATTAGATTTTCATTTTTTTTTCTTACTCATTATATTTTAGAGTAAATTACACGAATGGTCCCTATGGTTTAGGGTAATTTGCGCGTTTGGTCCCTAACTTATTTTTTTTAACTCGGAAGTTTGTTTTTGTTACGCGCTTGGTCCCTGTCTTACCTAAAAGACTATTTTGCCCTTGATTTTTTAATTTATTTAAATAAACACACCCCCAACCCTACCTTACCTTACCTACCCCACCATTTTTCCCTATTTAAATAATAGTCTTTTTAGGTAAGACAGGGACTAAGCGCGTAACAAAAACAAACTTCCGAGTTAAAAAAACAAGTTAGGGACCGAGCGCACAAATTACCCCAAACCATAGGGACCATTTGTGTAATTTACTCTATATTTTAAAAATTCTACAGTTATAACAGTGAAAATTGTTTTTTATCTGAATGGCATTGCTATAATTGGGTACATTTTTCAACATACAATGTTGTACTAAGAGGAATCGAAAGTAGGGTGTTATAAAAAACATAATAATAGAAGTACGTTGCTATTTCTTGCATTTAACCCTTTAGTTTGTGTAATATAGCATTAAACTCTTATTTCTTTCCATTACAACGTTGTAATTTGATTTTTATTTACTTACTAGAGGCAGCATATTTAATAAAATAGTACCCAATTATTGCTCTTGACTTTCAATATTTTTTCCTTACTAAGACATTAGAGAAAATTGTTTTGTATTTGGTTGATGTTTCTATAATTGGGTAGTTTTTTCAAAGCACAAGGCTGTAATAGGAAAAAATGAAAGTAGGATGCTATAATTGATAAAAATACGTTGCTATTCTTGCATTTAAGCCTTTAGTTTGTTTATTATAATATTTTACACTTTTTTTCTTTCTATTACAACATTGTACTTTAATTTTTCTATTAAGGCACTGTTTATTGAAAAATCTACCGGATTATAGCATTGCACTTACATTTTTTTTCCTTATTATGGCATTATGCTTTGTAAGATCTACCGAATTATATCAGTGAACATTGCGCAAATTGCTTTGTATTTTGATGACATTGCTATAATTTGTTAGATCTTTTAAAGTACAATGATGTAATAGGAAGTAATGAGAGTATGATGCTATAATAGACATATCAGTAGAATTTTGTTACTATTTATTACATGTAACCCTATTGTTTATGTATTTACTATTTACACATGATATGTGTCCCTTATGTAATTTTGATTGCTACTTATGATGCAGATATTCAATGACAATATGCTGAAGATTAGGGTTAAGAGATGCATACGTACAGCCATTAAACTCCGAAAGAAATACTTCTACAAGGTTTAAACATTTAAATTATATTCATCTTTTTTTTTTCTTTCTAATTCACTTTGCACTTCTTATCATGTTAGATTTTTCGTACCTTTTTTGTTAAACTCATTAATTATCATTTAGTTTGAAAGCTTTTACTTTTTTATGTCAAGTAAAGTATAATGGGTGAATTTCTTTTGTTTTTTGTAATTTCTGATGTTCGTAAAGTAATAATGTACTTTTGCATTTTATCCATCTTTTAGTTGTACTTTATAAATAGTGTTTATAACTTGTAAATTATTAAATTTCTAATATATATATATATATATATATATATATATATATATATATATATATAATAAAAGTAGAGATATTCGTCTTTCTGACACTATTTTTTCATGTAATCCAGCTAATCAAGAATAGAAGCCCAGCTGCTACCTATGATGACTAGTTTGTGATGCTTCAGATTTGTGATCAAAGATTTTACCTTTTTGTTTTATATTGGAAGAGTTCATAGCAATGTGCTTATGCCATTTCAACATTCATCAAGTATGTTCAAAAATCGCTCGATTTTTAGTAAAGGTACTTTTTGTTTTGTTATGCATGAGCCATTACATTCCATGATCATGTTTTGTTGGTATGTAGGGGTGGAATGAATTTTTTATATATTATATGTAAATACATTATTGTATACTTCTAAGTTCTAACATTAATATATATATATATATATATATATATATATATATATACAATTTAATTATAGTTATTAAATTTTTTATTTACAAAAATAAAATATTAAACATGATAAAAGCTCATTAACTCCCAAATAAGATTATAAGAAAAGTTATATTTTCTGGCTATTTTTATAAAATGAAATTGTAACTTTATTAAATTAGGGAAAAAATTTACAAAGATCTGTGTTATTAAAAATTACATAAATAGGGTTGTGTTGCAAAAGTTTGTTCGATTGGATGGAATGGAACGGGCAGGTAATGGAATAAGCAACGTAAGAGAATGAGTCATTACATTCTTTGATCATGTTTTATTGGTTTTTGGAATAAAATGAGTTTTTATATAAACTTATGTAATAGAAGGTTTAGTTTTAACTCTATTCCGTATATTACTTAATTCTAATTAATGAAATTTTATTTATATAAAAAAATTGACATATAAATTGGATGGAATCGCATTCCTTGAAGGAAAGTTAATAAATTGGATGGAATCGCATTCCTTGAAGAGTGGTCCGTTCCATTCCATTGGACAAACAAAACAACTTTTTTCCATTCCAATGGAATGAACCATTCCATTCCCTTCCTGATTACATTTATGTAGAAAGGAGTTGCCCCTCCAACTTCCTACACTTGTGAAGTTAACCAACTATATTAACATTTATGTAGAAATAAATCTAAAATACCCCTCTCTGGACTTGCTAAATAAACTTCACAAATGATTTCATTTTAGTGGATGTTTGTTCACGTGATTCCATGAGATTTGGCCGGAATCAGAATTCAATTCCATGGCATTCCAGTCTTTGGTTGCAAAGGAGTATTTTCATTTTCTGAAACATCTTTTATACTGTTTTGTTTGGTTTTCAGGATTATGAATTGGAGCCCTAAATGATTGTCATAGGAAGAGGCTGTTCATGGGTACATCTTGCAAGGTCAGAAGAACACAATCTCTTTATTTGTGTATTGTGTTTACACATCTATTTTTTTTTTTTAAATATTTTGAGGCGATTATAGAAGGTTTCACGTTTAGCTTCCATACAACATGTAAACTTAGAATCAAAGAGCTCGTTGCAATTCTTGCTTTTCAAGAGGAATAGATTTTTTATTCTTTTTTCTGTATATTACAGCATCCTGCTTTCATTTCTTTCTATTATAGTGTTGTACTTTGAAAAATATACCCAATTATAGCAATGTTGTTCAAATACAAAGCAATTTTCATTGCTATATTGGGTAAGATTTTACAAAGTATGATGTTCTAAGAAAAAAGGTAGAAACTACATTGTTATAATAGCTAGTAGAGTTTTAAAATTACAATGCGTTAATAAGAAAATATTTAAAAGTATAATGTCATGATAGATATGGGTGTGCAAAAAACATTATTGAATAAAAAAATCAAATCATTTTGAACACCCAGGTCTGGTCTTTTGCTGTTCAGAAAACTGAATTTTTAGTGTCAATTTGGTTTTCTTTTATATAAAAACCAAATCGAACCTGAAAACCCGAAAACGACGTCGTTTTGTGTATAAGTTTATCTTATTAAGCATTTTATGTATTAAAACAATGACATGCGTTTACGGTTTCTATTTAAATATAAAATAATGAATTTGCATTTACATCGTCTTGTATCTTTTTTTTTTTTTGTAAATTACCTTTTTTTTATTTTTATTTTATCAGCAAGGTTACAGAATGAACACAAAAAAAATATAAAAAACCGGGGAAAACCCGAAAAGACCGAAGATAATCGGTTTCTTCAAAGTCAAAAACCAATGTTTTGGTTCGGTTTCAGTTTTAGCCAAAAACTGAGACCAATGCTACAATACACAAACAAATGAAAGTACCTTGCTGATCTTACATTTAGTATCTTTATTAATAATAAAATGACAACATTGGCTTATAAATAAGATAACTATATCAATCTATTTGTTGAGCATTCTACAATTGAGTCGAATCTGACCCTCGGTTCCTGTAAGAACCTTAAGCCCACCCATCCGGCTCATGGAAAAGGCGAACCCAAGCTTGAAATCTTGGAGCCCTGCAGCATATTCATCGGATAGGTCATGTGTATCTTCACCATAGATTAGCTGTTGGTCAACTCCTAGAACTGATTTATTTTCCAACACTCGAGAGTAGTAGGAGTTGGTGAAACTGTGAGTCGGGTTACTTGGGTTTAAGTTTATGAGCGGGTTGGGTTGACCGAGTCTTACTTTCTGAGGGCATTCGGCCCGCAAGTAAGTTAGTGTAGATGGTTCCATACTTGGGTCGGGTTTCCCGGTGTTGTTGAAATTGTAGAGACGGTCGAGGATGTTACTGCATCTAACTCGGCCCATCATATGTGCTCCTGAAAGTACAAAAGAAAAAACACATAAGAACAGAACAAGTTGTACTGTGTTTGGTGTGTATGGAATTTAGACTATTTAGACCGAGGCCGATGTCAATAGGACAAAAATTGCAATTTTTATTCATACTCAAAAAGGTGGGAAATGGACTAGCTCTCGATCTCCCGTTTTTGTAAAAGACGTAAATGCCCTCCTCATTTCTCACCATCGAAAATATACATAGAAAGCATGTCAAGTCTTGTCTAGTCTTAATATGTGTAACAAACACAGCAGACCCGACAAGCTTTCTAGGGCTATTCTCGATGACGGGGATGGGGAGGGCATTTACGTCTTTTAGGATAACGAGAGATTGAGGGTGAGTCCATGTCCTACCTTGTTTAACCTTTTAAGTCTCGGTCTCAGTCTAATGTATATCAAAACGAAATGTTGTACAATGACAAAGATACTTGTATGGACGCTTACCTAGGAGAGTAACCATGTCTTGCAAATCCAAGCCTTTAGATTCAAAATATGCCAAAGACGATTCCCAAGACATGGAAGGCGAGGGGAAGTCTACCCATGCTGCATTCGATTCAAGTCCGTCCCTTCTTCCCAAGAAAACCGGATACGATGGCCCGCCCGACTGTTTTAAATTCATCAAGAAGTTGTTAACTTTTCATATGGGATGAACTTAATTTCGGATTTAAGTTGCCATGTCCATACGGCTTGAAAATGCAAGAAATAGCAACCTACTTTCATTAATATGTTTATTATAGCATCCTACTTTTATTTTTTCTTGCTAAATCATTGCACTTTTATTATAGCATTGTGATAAATTTCAACACAATTTAAATTTGTTTTTCATATTATAATGCCCCAAAAAGAAAAGAAAAACTGAAAGTAGAATGCTACAATTGAATAGACTTTTTGAAGTACCGGTGTTAATAAGAAAAACGTTAAAAGCACAATGATGTAATAAATAAATGAAAGTGTGTTGCTATTTTATTTTTTCCATTTATGCATTTGTTTTACTAGTACGAGCACTTACCAAATACACGGCATCTCTAGCTGCAATATTGAGAATGTCAGCACATGAAACTGCTCCTGGGCACCGTGCTTCCAAGACTTGCTTGATTTTATCGATAAGCACGAATGCTGCTAGTCCTCTGGCTTTTGGTGATGCTTTCTCTGTATTTGCCCCATCTAGTAGAATCGATGCATCGCAGCCCTATCATATTTTCTCCAATTAGCTTTTCATATTTCAAACTTTTTATAAATCAAATACTTAATGTGTGTGTGCGTGTGTGTGTGTTTTTTTTTTTTTTAAATCGTAATATTTTCAAAGACAAACATGATAGGTAAATATGATAAATCACTTATTAATTTTTTTTAAAATGACAAGATAAATGAAAGACATTGGTGCTCAACTCCCAAAGTATCTTTAAGTGAGAAAGCGTGTTGACTCATCCACAAAACAAGCCTTCTTTTGCTCCTTCAATCGGGTGACGTAAAAAACGTTATCTACTCCTTCAATGCCTCTCAAGTTTTCTTCAGTTGTTTTAATATTTATTGATATTTAATAAATCGCAAAGTATCTGTCGTTTTATCATTAAAAGGCTGATGATGGTTTACGTAATCTCAAAGACTCAAAGTTGTAAAAAATTGTTTCATAATTTATCAAACCATCAATCTATCTAACTTCAAGTTGGAACACAACAAGTATTTTCTGGAGAGGTCTTGTATCTATGTATCTACATACATACATACATACATACATACCCAATATACATCCTAACACATAAATATATACTTGCATATGTACAAGAACATACATATATCTATGAGGATGTATTTTTATATACGTACATGCATATAATTCATATATTCACATACATCATACAAACAAATAGACATACATGCATATATAAGTATATATATACACGTACATTCATGCATTGAATTGCAAAAAAATGCAAGGTTAGTAACTAATATGATGATGATGTGTTGAGAGAGACTAAGAGAACGTACATTGACCATGCAATCAGCATAGAGCAACTTGATGAGCTTTGGAGCAACAGTCTTATCATTAGCCCATATAAGCTGCACTTGGTGTCGAACAAATGGCTCCACGTTCGCACACGTATTGTGTACTTTATAAAAATGGCGAATTAATGGTGCTGACTCAGGCGGCATCCCTACTGCCGCCTGACTGCCGCCAACCATCATCTCTAATGCAATCAATGCAAGAATGGAAAGAATCACCAACCCTCGTTCTCTCTTCATCTTTGTATTAAGCTCAATTGAAAAGGTTGATGTGAATGCCTCATTGGAAACATGCTACCATGTATATATAATATATATTGGTCTCCTTACTTTCTAAGGAATAGTTAATATTTATATGTTAATCTTCTGTCATGTTTTTTAAAATTAGAAAAAGTATGTCTTAAGTCTATCATATTGTATTTCAAAAGACTTGGTATGGGTTATGGAAAAATGGATTGATTAAATAACAAGAAACGAGTGGATGACAAAAAAAAATGATGAAGGGCTTAAGACGTTTATAGTGGTAAATGGTAATGCATAGTTTAAATGGTTTCGGTAAAAGTTTTTGAAGTCCAGTAATTAAATTAGAAAGGAAGTGAAAGCGTGCTATAAAAACCGAAATAATAACATAAGAACTAAACATTCAACTAGGGACGTTCTTGATATGACACCACCACCCGAATCCCACACACCAATAAATGAGGTTGGGTTAGAAATTTCAACCTGTTTAATTAAACGAATTAATACAACACGACACAAACTTAAACGAGTAAGGTTAGGATCAAACTTTCATCACAAAAATGACTCATTTATCTATATTCAATTTTTTTAATTTTTTAGGTAAACTGGACATGACGAAAACAAAAACCAAATATAAAATAAAACTTTAGGTCGAGTCTTTTTGTAATGTGGAAGATTGAAAGCTACTAATCAGCAGTCCCAACCTGTACTTGTTTTTACTTTCTAATTTTCTATTTTTTTTTCATTAGCATCCCATACCCATAATTTTACTTGCCCACTACCTCCTCTAAACTAAATGTGAATTTCATCCCCACCTTGATACTCCTGTTTTTCATTTTTTTTTTCACTTTTCCGACTCCTACTCTTTCAACTTGTTTATTGTTTCGGTTTAAGATGACACAACATATTTACTAGGTCTAAACCCTCAACATGCCAACTCGACACACAAATAAACAGGTTAACATGATACGATAATTAAATTTGTCGGGTTAAAATCAACCAATCAATTTATCTCAACTTGTTTAAGTTTCACACAACACGACACGTTTGCTACCCTTACATTCAATCATATCATCATATTGAAGGATTTTTTTGGATAGACCTCATATAATTAACTTTCAAGTACATAAGATTATTAGTAGCGATTTTTAAATTTTACTAAGTTTAAATAAAACAAAAAAATGTTATTTATAGTTTTCCAATAATTGATATACAAGTATACAACTATTACGCTTAATATGTACTCTAGGGAGTCGACAATGCCAAGTTGGCAAATTTATAAACATAAATTTTTGCTAGTTGACTTTCTAAGTTTGACAAAAAATCATTTTCACACTACATTCTTCAAGAAAAAGTTAATATTACACGTTCTTGAAAGTAAAATAGATGAAAACGTATAAACTTCATCTAACATAGAGCATGACTTTCAAATCTTGAACATATATACTAGACCCTTGCAATGAAAGTCTTTGTTCAAGTCGTTATTGGAAGGCTTATTAATTACCCTTAAGTCCTTAACCGAAAGTATTTTAGGATACCATTCTCATATATACAACCTTTTTTTAGTTTAAGCTATGCGACTTCAATCATTTTTTCTCAAAGTCAACTCGTCAAGTACCACTTGTAAAATCGTAATGTTAAAAAAAAAAAACACATGAAATCGTAAAACACGCTTTACAAAAAATAGGTCATAAGTTCTAGGTCTGACAATCGTGTCGTGTTCGGGTTGACGGGTCAAAATATACCAACCCAAACACGACCCATTTAATTATACAAGTCATGGGTTGGCGGGTTTGGAACATAAACCCATATATGACCCGTCAACCCACTTATTTATACAGGTTCACAGGTTGGCGGGTTCGTGAGTCAGATTTGGGTTCGTGGGTTCGTGTGTCAGATTCCATAAATAAAATTGATAATTAAACATGAATAAATTCTTGATGCAAACATATCCGAATTTTAGAAACTTAAGTCTTAAACATCGAAATGAAAATTAAAAACATTCATGGAAACATGTTCAAACTAAAACATTAATACAAACATAGATAAATTTAATCGCAGGCGTTGACGTCGTTTGATAATGATTCAGTCGTTCATGTCGTCGTTCTTGTAAGATACTTTATTTAGGGCAAACACTAAACGCGTTGCAATGCAAATCAGCAGATTGTTACCCACGGGTCAAATGGTCAATGATATTGGGTATCCTATCCTAGTATAAAGTATAACTGTATAATGTATAATACTTAATACGTTTAAAAAATATATAATTTTTTTATTAAAATTCTAAACGGGTTGGCGGGTCAACCCGTATATTTTTTGAGAAACTCATATATGACCTGTTTAATAAACGGGTTGACGGGTTGAAAAACTCAACCCAAACCTGTTTATTGCGTGTCGTGTTGCGGATCGTGTCGAGAATTGTCAGACCTAATAAGTTCCTAGCATTAGAGTAACATCAACGAAACTCTTTTGAATAAAGCCAACATACATCATTATTCCAAAACCACGTAACATGATCATAATGCTAGTAAGTGCATTTAAACACATACAAATGCAAACTCAAGTCTCTACAACTTAAACGGGTCAAACAAATTTGGCTATATGATCGGGTTCGCAATAATATCAAAGTGCAATAATATCAATAATATTGTATGTATCGTATTATGTTAGGCCCACTATGGGTCCGTTATTGTATAGCCCACTAGCACTCTTGTATTTTATATATTTATTGTGAATCAATACAATACAAAATATCTTTCATGGAAAAATATTATATTTTATGATATAAGAACGGGAAAACCTTCTCTTCTAATAAAACAGTACATTAGATGACACGTGACACCACCTTAGTCCATCCGTCTTGGCTTTTCTCGTTCATTTGATCTAACTGAAATTCCAGAATTGCCCTTCATGTTATTAATCACTGAAAAATCGAAAATTTTGAAAAATCTTTTTATAAATCGGTAAATATTTAAATCAGGAAATCAGGATATTTGAAATTTAAATTTTCAATTATACCATATAATTCTGCAACAAATATGGCAGAAAATAAATGTTAAACTCTATCACTCCCAAAAAATCAGCAAATCAAAATTCAATCCCAATAAATCAGCAATCGAATATCAGTCGGATATATATACACCTTTACATGCGTGTTTACCTTCCTGTTTCACTACGCATAGATCAGATTTTATTCATCAGGTAAGGAGACTACATTGTTTACTCTGTGTTTTTAATATATCGATGGTATGCTCATGGATTTATCGCTCTTTTTTTGTGGTTGCAGTGTGTTTTTCCTATATCCAGGGTATATACTCATCGACTTTTTAGTTTTGGACTGCATAATCAACCAGGTCAGTTTACTGTTTTTTTTAATATGTTTGTGACATCCCCATTTTCATGGCCAGAAAAGACCGATTTTGTTTATGCTTTATAAAAATCAGAGTATCTCTTTTAATAAAAGTGTTGCGGAATTTGTTCCCAGTAAAACATGATAAATACGTATTCAAAGCATTTCCGAAGAAATGTATTTTTATTCATTTTCAAAACCTTGGGATGTCGTTGTCAATACAGAAACATAAGCATAAACAGAACTTACATTCATTTACACTAGTGATCTACATCTCTTTTAAATCCCTCAGTGTAAAGTAGCTTCATATCGACACCTTTGATACAAATAAGCTCGAGTGGGTCAGGTTGGGAAACCTGGTGAGTACATAGGGTTTTCAACCCACAATAATATAATTATTATGTTAAACATCAAACAATCAACCCAATTACCCATCCCCCATTATCTTCTTTACTCTTAAGGATCTACCCTAAGATTCAGTTATTCCTCGTTCATTCATTCCTAAGGAGTATCCTAAGGAATCGGCACTAAGTCTGCATAGTCACCAGGGTTTATCTCGTTTATTGACAACATCGTTTTTAAGAGTCCACTCGTAATACCTGTCAATGGGTTTTTAGAGTACATCGGGTGAACACATCGCTCACAACACCTACAGGTTGTGAGCCTGCTAGTGTTCCACTAGCCTGTCTAGAATAGTCCGTGGTTGTCATCCATACTCTGCTAGATGACGGGGCCATCGCTTGGGTCATCGTTTGGCTCATCGCTTAGGTCATCGCTTTGGCTCATCGCTTAGGTCATCGTTTCGGCTCAACGCTTAGGTCATCGCTTCGGCTCATCGCTTAGGTCATCGCTTTGCACCATATTTTATCACTCATATATCATCGCTAATCATTCATCTCATCTTTCATCGCTCATCATTTATCTCATCTTTCATCGCTCATCATTTATCTAATCTACCAATGTTTTACCCAACACATTTTGTAGATATAAAATACATATACAGTTTATATCATTTAAAACATGTATAAAACGTTTCATCCAGCATAGACAGCAAGTATTCAGACAGTATACACACATAGCATGTAATTTATATAAAATACTTCATATCTATATGTAAGATGAAAGTAACTATGCACTCACCTGAAAGGTGGTGACTCGGCACTCGGACAGCACTTCGTTACTCTTAACACAATTTTCCTCGGACAAAACAACGGTTTTTTTTCTCAAAACCGGGCTTCGCTGGAGCAGCGTTTCCGAGCCAAAAGACTCTTCTTCTCGGGGCCGTAGGGCACTCAGGGGCTTCCGCCTCGTGCTAGGGGGGTTCCCTAGGCTTTTCGGGGGGGTTTTAGGGCTTAGAGAGAGAGTATAGAGAGAGGAATGAAGGGTTAAGGTGTGAGGAATGAAGGAGAGGGGCGTCTCTATTTATAGGAGGCTGAAGATGCTCCCACGTCGTGGCTATTTGATGCCCACGTCGTGGCCAGCTGGGTACAGCCAGGCACAGCCTGGTGCTGACACGTGGCATCGCACACAGGGTGAAAATCATCCGATTTTCAAAAATTTATAACTTTCGCATACGAACTCCGTTTTCGACGTTCTTTATATCCACTCGTAGGTAAAAATAAGATCTACAACTTTTATTTTGACTCCGTCGGCTAATTCTCGACCGATCTTAAATTTAAATGTAGGAGGAGATTAGATTGTTAAATG